ATCCGCGGCCGTGGCCGCCGCTCGCCGGTCCTGTGTAAACTTGGAGCTGTGCTTTCAGCGCGTGGGCGGGGAGCGGCCTCCCCCAGACCGGCCGCGCACCCCGCCTCTGCGGGTGGGAATGCGCGCGCCCACCCCCTTCGCGTCTTGGGTTGCGGGTGGAGGGTGTGTGGGGAGCCGCAGCCCTGTTTGTTTTGTTTTATTTTGCTAGGCCACTGGCCGAGCCCTCGCGGGGAGCGGTGCCCGCCTGGGGGACCCGGCCCGCCTGGAGCATCCCCTCCCAGCTCCTCGGAAGGCCCCTCCTGCCCCCGCATCGCCGAGTTTTAATCAGGTTCCCACTTCCTGGCGTGTCCACCCGGACGCCCCTTCTCTCCCTTCCTGCCGCTCCGAGAGCCTTTGTCTGCAGCGCTCTCGGCTCTGGGGCACTTAATCCTCTTGTTCCTTGAGGATGTTTTCCAAGGAGGCCGAGTCGACTGCAGGCGGGTGTTCATGGAAAGCACCCAGAAATGCTGCATTTCTCGTAATTGTGGAGAGCAAATTAGGTGGCATTTTATCGTTACTTGCATCTTTGGACAGACAAGAAAGGGGTGTTTGTGCAGTATGTGTTTTTGAATGGTGCGGTTGATAAAAAAGGGGGTGTGGTTGATAAGACGGGGTACCGAGAACAGGGAGGTACCGAGAACACCGCTTCCCTGATCTGTGTGCCTTCAGAGGACTGGGGGACCCCGGCGTTGGGAGAGGTTATTGGAAGATTTCCTGTTATTTTGGGAGGAAACCATTAGATTTGTAATCTTGTTTCTTTGCAGGAGTTCCTCTTTTCTTTAAAACGTGTACCCAAAGGTCTCCCCACCTGCTGTAAACTTGTATACAACATATTTGCACGCATGGGTATGTTCACTGTGAAATCTATCTGAGCGTGTGAGCTGTTGGCAGCAGACACATTTTGTCATTATTTCTGGGTGGCCCTATATTCCACATCCGTTGAGTAAACAGGATGTATTTGGACAGTGACCCCTGGGTAATACAGCCACTTGAAGCCAGTGCAGAAAACAGTTGACAAAGGTAGTATCTGTATTGCGCCGTTTAGTCATGCCCAGAAACTATCAAATAATGACGGTTGGGTGTGAACATGTTAGAAATGGTGAAGGAAGCTAGGTTATGACATGGAAAAGGATTAAGGGAAGGAAGCTTTTGCAGGTAACTCGGGGATTACTGTCTGCCTGAGACTTGGGATAAAAAGATACCTGGGAAATTGTTGGGCAAGGGAGTTGGAAATAGTTACTATTTTCCTAGCTTAAGGCATGCTCAGGTACCGTGGGAGCACCAAGATGGTGTTGTGGTTGAGTCATGTCTCTCGAATAGATATGTTCTGACTCCCCCAGAACCTCTCAGTGTGACTTTTTCTGGAAATAAGGTCTTTGCAGATGTAATCAAGTTAAGTTAATATTGGATTTGATTGGGCCCTCATCCAAGGACTATTGTTCTTAGAAGAGAAATTTGGACATGGAGACATATAGGGACACCATAGAAAGATACCGTATGAAGATGAAGGCAGAAAGAAGAGCAAGGCAGCTGCAAACCAAGGAGCACCAAAGATTGCCAGAAGCCACTGGAACGTGGACACCATGAAGGACGCCGACGCCTTCCCGACACCGTGAAGCCTCCAGAACTGGAGAAAATGGATTTCTGTTGTCCTAAGCCACTCCGTTGGTACATTGTTAATAGCAGCCCTAGTAACTAGTACAGATGGGATCGCTTGACCCTGCTTTGGGGACAAGGAGGACCGTTTCTACAGAAGAGGCAATCCTTGAATGGAAGCTGAAAGGATCAGTCAGGCTTCGCCTGGCAAAGGCTGGGGTGAGGATAGAGTTTATTCCAAGTGGGGTGAACAGCATGTGGCACGGAGCAGAGGGCATGAAAGAGCACACCTGTTCTCTCCACCAGGAGCTTCGTCTTGATATTAAGACTGGATCTCAGTGGGAGAGTGGTGAGGCAGTCAGGGATCAGACCACATTGATCCTCAAGTGCCAGAACAACTTGTCGGCTATGAAAGCAACTTCGAAGAGGCGACACCAGCTTTGTATATTTGAGAGAACACTGTCTGCTGTGAAGAGGGTGGGTTGGAAGAGATGATTAGAGGCAGGCACGGGATGATAAGGGCCTGTGCTAAGGCAGTAGCAGCGGGTTCAAGAGAAGCAGGCTGCTATAAAGCGGGCGGCTTAAACAGAAATTTATTTTATTAATTCTGGAGTTTGGGAAGTCCAAGGTCAAGATGCCAGCAGTTTGCTATGAGGGCCTGCTTCCTGGTTTATAGACAGCCATCCTCTTGCTGATTCCTCACATGGTGGAAGGGGTAAGGGAGCTCTTTGGGGTCTCTTCTGAGGGCACTAATCCCATTGATGAGGGCTCTGCCCTTGTGGGCTGATCCCCTCCCAAAGGCCTCGCCTCCCAGTACCATCACACTAGGCCTTTGGATTTAACATGAGTTTTGAGGGTTGAGGTGGGGGTGGCATACAAGCTTTCAGTCTATAGCAGTGAGATCTGAGAGATTGAGTCACCTTGATTTGCTGTTTTTCTAGAGGACAGTGCAATGGTGGTGTTGGTGTTCGAAGATAGAACCTTCAAAGGGAAGAAATGTGTGTGTGGGAGGAGGGAGTGGGGATGCTTCAGTTTTTCACATCATGAATTTGAGGTCCTTGTTGGCTACTCAGAGGGAGAAGACAAGATTGGAGTTGGAGGTGCAGCATTTATGTGGCCAGACCCTTGCAGTGCCAGGGAGCTTTGGGTTGAACGCATCATCTCAACAAGAGCATAGAGTGAAA